TATCTCCAAGACTCCTGCAGAGGTTTAGGCTGTTTAATGAGTGTATGTCTGTAATGAATAGAGGAGCTTGATGTTTTTCTCTGAGGCAAACTGTCTCTGACTCATCGACGCTGCTGTTTGTCCAAGTTCCTGCCAAGTCAGGAAACTCCTGTATGCTCTAATCTCTCGACTCCACCCAGCTCACCTGACGTGGTACAAACAATAGTAAGATTCTTCCCCATAACAATCATTCTTTGCTCTCAGGCCTTTGTAAGATACCGTACGTCTCCTCAGGTCAAATTACAATTATGGTGCTTTTGCAGAGGTTTGCAAAAAAATTAAAATCAAACAAACAAGAAGTTGAATCTTACGTTGTGAAAATATGTTTTGTAGGATTTGCTTTATCTCTTTTTCATATCACTCAGTTACCATATGAATCGCTTTATTACATATTGCTCAAGACCTTTTTTTATTATGTTTTGCAATATTCAAAATTGCACATGCTATCTGTGTATTCCTTACTTTTAAAAAATGTGAAAGCAGATTACTTATTATATTTACAGTGCTCTAGATGGGCTGTGTGAAATAACAAGAGCATAGGGATTAAACATGTTACTTCACAATGCTTAATTTGAGAAGTGAAGGAGCAACACACACACACACACACACACACACACACACACTTATGGACCAGACTTCTAAGATTTCAGCATCTCTTCAAAACCGCATGATACTAAAAACATGAATGAGGGAATGGAATTAAAAAGGGAGAGTGGAGAGTGAGGGATATAATATAGAAAGACGGATATCATACAAACCTTTTTAAACACGTTGGCTAAAACGTGTTATTTCATTGCATTCAGTGCATTAGAGTTCATAATTTTTATGCCAGACATATACTGTAAGATTTACAAGTCCCATTGAAGAACAAACTGAATCTGGACAGATGTTCTTCTCTGTGTGTCAAGCTTTATAAAACATCTGCACAAATAGCAAAGAAAAAACTAGCTGGACTCCGACTACGTAACAACCCCCAAACACTAATTCAGTATTGGATGAGTTGATCCCTGATAGTTGACCATCCCTTTGCTCTTCCCCTCTCCAGCAAATCACATGTCACAAATTCTGTAAAACTCCAGGAATAGACCGACCTTGGAGAAGCATGTGCACGTTGTCAATGTCCAATGGAATGCCTCCATCGTCCTCCTCCGCACCACCTGAAGCCATGTAGCCTCCAACCGCAGCACGAGTTCAACCTCAGGAGGGTTCAGGAAACATGGTTTTAGTTAAATCATCCAAAACAGTGATAGGTGTCTCCACTGCCTGATTAGTCACCTTAAGAACGCACCCATCCACACCCCACACACACAGATCCAAGTACACACATGCAGATATTCATACAATAAGCTCAAACACGAGGATTGGTCTTTCTGTATGGAAAGAGCTTGGGGCTTTCTTTTTTCAGTTTAGGCAGATAAAGAATAGATAGTCTAGTCAAATCAACATACCTGCAGCAGAGCTGGAGTCACAGCTGACAGCTACTGTGGTGCATATTAAAATAAAGAACCCAGTACAGTGTGACCTGCACAGTAAATCTCCTCAGCTGTGTCCTTTCATATTGGCACGACTCAGTGTTGATTCACTGTGCTGGGTGCCTTCGAATGAGACTTGGCCTTTAGGTGCTCACAAATGAAACAAGGTGCCTCTCGCCTATCAGAGCGTGAAGACAAAAAGAAAAGGAGAGTCCCGCCCATGCTCACTGTGCCCGTCCCAAATCCTATGAGCTCTCATACAAACTTATCACCCTTTGCTTCAAAAGCAAAAACCACAGACTCTCATACTTTGGTTTTGCAGCTTTGCTCCCAAAAGCAGAACTTGTTACTGAAGTGTCAGGAAACAAAACACAACAAATATTTAAAATTGTATCTTTCATTATTTTCTTGATTTTCCAGATAGCTGTACGGAGAGGAAACTGAGGAAATGCTTTCACTTTGAAACTGTTTGCATTTCCTTTTACAGCAGATTCCAAAACCACTCTCAAGCAATAATCATTTAATTCTATTTTTACTTTTCACAGTAGGTTTCATATTAGAGCATATCAACCTGTACAGACTATACAATTAAAAAAAAAAACTAGTTTAAGACCATTATGGTGATTGCGTCATCATCTAACATTATTTATCTATTTCACCTGATAAGGAATAAGGTGCATAAATACCAGAGTTTGTTACACAATCACATTTTTACCCTTGTGACCGGTGCCAGTGTTTTTATTTGTTGTCTCACTATGGTGAAGAGACAGAGCTGAACAGAGTGTGAGCCACATAGCAGCTGCGCTATCACGGGTTAAACCCAGAAACCATCACTGGACAACTGCACCAATGTCCACAAACTTTGAGGGTTGATAAAATGACAAATCCTTTGCATTATTATTCCGTCCATCCATCATCTGTCCAGATTATTCGCTTGCAACGGGCAAACTGGGGACTCAAACATGTTCTGTAAGAACACTGCTTGAGAGAGAGCTACGGGAAGTTTTAAACTTCCTTGAAACTGCAAACTCATATCCTAAGATGTAAGTTTTTTGAGGGCATAAACTGCAGTGATGTTTCCATACCGGTGGGAGGCAGCAGTGCACTTTAACAGCGCCTTAGTCTGTCGGGAGGGAGAAGAAGAAGTCGTGTACCTCCATGTGGTGGCGCTGCAGTCTGAACCGTGATTGAAGCAGTGAAGAAGAAGCCGTTCCCCCACCACCACGACTTTGACGTTAGCATCAGCGGCTCTTGACCTTCCTGCAGCAGCGAGACGAGCAGAGGTAACAGATCACACTTAGACAACACGCTGACTTTAAAAACAACCCCGCTACAGTTGTGAGGTGATGGCAGCGAGCTACACTGAAGCTGTCGTCTCCTCTGACCTTGGCTGCGTGCGCTACTTTTGCAGGTAGCTTAGCTTCTTGCTAAGGCTAGTTAGCGCTGTTCTTGGTTCTGGAACAGAGGAGGTGCTAACACGCTAGTCTGGGATTCGGTCATTGTTTGAAGGAGTTGACACGAAATAAATGTGAACGACGTGTCTCCTGGTAAATGTTCTGCTCCAACCTGCACACGTTCGATGCTAACTGCAGCTCGTGCAGCTGTGAGGTGCTACTGTTAGCAGCAGCAGTAGCGTTAGCCGACTAGCTTATCTTCAGTAAAGATTAGTTATTGCCAAGTAAATGAATTAAGAACTACCTCTTGATTCAGCCACAGTTAAAGTCAGGAAAGAGGAAACCTTTACCGGGGGGGGGGGTCCATGTTTCCCTGCTGCTCAAAGTCATTAGCTTAGCCTGACTCATGTAGCCTGAGTCCTGACAACAGTGTATGAGGGAACCGGTTTTTAAAGTTTCAGTCTAACATACTTGAGTTCACTGGTTGTGTCAGGTTAACTTGAACGACACGATCAGAGAAGTGGTGGAATATTGAGTGAACACACGAGGGCCCTTGGGTTGGATCATCTGATGTACCAGTCGTGTCCATGCTGGAGTAAACAGTTTTCTGTTGTGACAGTGTGTCTTGTGTTTTCTCCCACAGATGGCTGGACGTGTGTTTGCTTCTTGGTGGGCCAAGATGGGCCCTTACTACACAAAGGCATACCCGGAGATGTGGGTGGGTCTTGGCATCATGACTTACCTGTACTATAAAGTCTCCTATGGGGGTGAGTTTAACACTTGAGGAAAACGAAATGTGGACACATATAGTTAAAAGATATGAGCGTAATTGGCTAAATTGAAGTTTGAATACATTAAAAAGGAAAAAGGGTACAGAGTGAGATGGGTTAACTTGACATGAAAACATCCATACATGTAGCATAACACATGTAATTCTCCACTGTGGCTGTATGTATATATAAGATGAAGAAAACTAAGTGAAAAGTGTATTTAAAATGATCATGAAGCAGTTTATCAGATGGTGTGAGCAGCCACAGCTGCAACAGCTGTATTTGCTGCTTCACTGTGTATTAATGACAGTGCCTCAGTGATTATGGGTGAATGTGACTAATATTATGGTTTTTGTTTTGTTTTTTAGGCAAGAACGCAGTGAAGGACAGTAAGTGGCTAAACATTTTCAAATATTCTAATAATATTAATAATAATCTTTCTTTACCTGTCATTTAAACATCTTTTTTTTCTTTTCCTCTTTTTGTAGAGCCTGCCCATTGAGTTTTCCACGATGCTGACCCCCCCCCCCACCTGCTGTTAAATAAACTCGCTCATCTTGAAGTCCAGATTCAAATTTGACTTTTTGTTAATATGGAACAAATAAAGTTGTTATCCAGTGTCTGGGTTGTTTCATTGGCATTTTTATGTAACTACATGAGAGTAATTATTAATTAATTGGTTTGCTGTGTAAAAATAAATGGATGACAAATGAATCAGGCCACAGGGTTAATGCTGAGTGAGGAGGGGGTTTATCTGATTCCACTTCTGCAACTCATCACTATTCTGTCTACAGGTTAAACAGTGACAAGGCCCCCACTGTTCTTATAGGACCCGAAACTGAAAAAAGATAGTGACTATAAACAACATTGACATTTTATTCTAAGTTTTATGTCTTTGTGCTTTTCAAGTATGTATTTGTTTTTTATATCTTAAACGCCATTTTTATCTCTAGCTCTTTTTTTCTCGGTTTTGGTCTTTTGTATGAGTTGTGGTGGATTTGCCTGCTTTGTCCTCATTTTGTATTTTTTTAGCTGAGCTCTGTGGCTTTCAAACAGGAAATACAGAGTCTGTTCAGTTTCCATACCATCTCTGTCAATGCTGGCCTCATAACGAGTGTTGGCATCTTGACTTGAAGTGAACTCGCAGCAGAACGGAGATGGTTGAGAAATCTTGATCAAAAGTCCCTCAAGCTTTTTCCACCTGCGCACCTGCTCAGCTTAACCTGTGTAGACAATGTGGTATATAATTAATGGAACAAAACATACAAGGCAGGATCTAATGGAAAATATGAACAAGAGGTTTAACTTTTGCTTTGCTGGTGAAGAAACACTGAAGATAGAGAGAGAGAGAGAGAGAGCCCACTCCTCAAGGCTGTTTTGGGATTCATGTTTGTCATGTTTGTGGTTAATGTCTCAATTAATGGTCATTTCATCCCTGTGGTTATATTGTTTGGTTATTTTGGGTCATTTTGTGTGTTTTTAGTTGTTTCTTTGAGGTGGACTCACATTATGTTTGTAACTTTTAATGGAGCTCTGTGACTTTCAAACAGTAAATCACATCATACACTTCATAAAGAGGCTCCAGCCCAGGTGTCCACTGGATTCTCAGGCCCCTGACCCTGTGCCTGGTCGGTTTGTTGAGAGACACATCCATGCTTATACTTACATCACATTATTGACTGTAAATGAGGCTAGAAAAGGTTGAGAAACCCCCGATCGAAAGTCCGCCCGGCTCCTTCCACCCACGCACCTGCTCACTTTAACCTGCGCAGACAAGAATTCATTGGACAACATGACCATTAGAAGCAGAATGTGATGAAGAGGTTTCTGAAAGTCTGTTCTCTAAACTCTTTTCTGACGATAGACACGACAACACAAACTTTAGTTGTCGTGTTCACGTGCTTGTGTGAGGCTGGGAGGGGGGGGTTGAGGTCTCGCGCTCGCTCCCACGGCTCGTGCGCTCTCGTGCGCTCTCGTGCCTGCGCTCCCTCTCCAACATTCAAACATGGCGAAACTCTTTGACGTTACACACCCTCGCTCATCCTCCTCCTCCTCCTCCTCTTCTTCTTCTTCATCTTCTTCAACTTCACCTCCATCGCCGTCTTCTTCGCCGTCTCCGTCACCGCCGTTATCTCCGGTACCGTGATGCCCCGGGAGGATGGAGAAGTTGTCGGCGAGCCTGTCGGAGATCACCTGGAGCCCGCTGGCGCTGCCGCTGGACGCGGTGGTCAGTAAATACCGTCTGCCCACCCTGGTCCGCCTGTCCAACGGTAAGACACCACCTCCGCCCGGGGGCTTCCTCCGCGCGAACCCCCCGGTAGACAAACTTCCAGAGCCGCCGTTTGTTCTCCGGACAACTGTTAGCCACCGAGCCGCTCCGAGCCCCGGAGGTGAGAGAAGCGACGGTGATGAACCAAAGAACAGAAAAAGGGATTTTATCGGTCAGGAAAAGTAAAATACGTAAAGTTATACACAGTAAAGTGGGTTTGTACGTGTTTTGCGTATTTAACGTTGGAATAAGTGTCGTAATTTAATGAAGAATCCCAGCTGCGGTTTAATTGTGTCAAGATCGACGGAGAAAGTTTTTTGCTTCCGGTCCCAAATTACAAAACAAAATCCCCAATTTGTGTTTTTTATTTTTTTTATTTTAACGAGAAAAATGATTGAATGAACGTTTT